TCGTAGATTTGCCTGACACATGTTTTCAAGATGTAACAGCTAGTTTCTCCCAGAGAGTATGTGATCCAAGAAAGAACAAGGCAGAAACACTGATGTCTGTTATGATCAGTCTCAGATGTCATACACCTTTATTTCTACAACACCCTTTAAGTTACATAGTCAGCCCTTTTAGTGAAGAAGGGGTAAGTGAGTACTGGGAGTGAAGATCATTGGATGCCATCTTAGAAAATTATTCCATGAATCTTCAAAAACAAGTTTGCTGCCAGGTGGCACATATCTGTAATCCCAGCGGCTCAGAAAGCTGAGACAGGAGAATCCTGAGTTCAAAGCCAGCCTCACAACAGTGAGGCGCTAAGCAACTGAGACCCTGTCTCTAAATAAAAGACAAAATAGGGCTGGGGACGTGGCTCAGTGGCCGAGTGCCCTGAGTTCAATCCCTGGTACCCTTCCCCCTCAAACAAAAGCAAGTTTGCTGAGGTCATGCTTTTTAGAAAAGCCTACGTAGCCATGTTATAAACAGCATCTGATTGTGTTATAGGGGATCATCATATTTAATTGCATAGCAGTGGAGGATTTGCACAATCCTGTTTTCTGCTTAATCAGTATCTTACTCCTTCCTACCTTTCTTTTTTTTTCTTTTTCATTTTTTTAAATAATTTTTTTAGTTCTAGTTGGACACAATGCCTTTATTTATTTTTATGTGGTGCTGAGGATTGAACCCAGCGCCTCACACGTGCTAGATGAGCACTCTATAACTGCTGAGCCACAACCCCAGCCCCTCTTTTTCATTTTTTTTTTTTTAAAGAGAGAGTGAGGGTGGGGGGAGGGAGAGAGAGAGAGAGAGAATTTTTTTTTTAATATTTATTTTTTAGTTCTCGGCGGACACAACATCTTTGTTGGTATGTGGTGCTGAGGATCGAACCCAGGTCGAACGCATGCCAGGCGAGCGCGCTACCGCTTGAGCCACATCCCCAGCCCTCTTTTTCATTTTTTGAGACAGAGTCTTCCTGTATTGCTGAAACTGGCCCAGAACTTAACAATCCTCCCACTTCAGCCTCCCGAATCACTGGGATCAGGCATGTGCCACATCATCTGGCCACTTGCTATCTTTCTTTCCTGCTTACTTCCAGAAATGTTTATAGAATACCCATTAGGAGCTCAGATTTGCTTAGTTCAGAGACATGTAAGGACACCAACACCTACCCTCAAGGTGCTTATATTCTGGTGGAGGTAAACTTAACAGAAACAAATATGATAATGAAGACATGAATAATTAGACTAGAAAAGAAATATCTAAGTAGAACAAGAGTCAGCACACTGAGCCATAGGCAAAATTTAGCCTATGCCCTGTTCTTATAAATTATGTTCTATTGCAGCAGAGCCACTCCAGTGGTGTATGGCTGCTTGTGCACTATGTCAGCGGAGTTAAGTCTTTGGGACAGAGACTTTATGTAGCACTCTTATGTCTCTGGATCTGTAAAGCCTCCAGTATTTCCTATCTGGTTCTTCAGAACAGAAGATCTGCTGACCTCAAGTTTGGCAGAATTAGAGACTGCTTCCTAAAGAGGTGATATTGGAGATGAGATGTGGGGAGACAGAAGATCAGATCACCTGAGGTAGAAGCAACCTGAGAAGAGGTGTGAAAGGATGTGTCAGAAACATCCTGCAGAAGAAGCATTTATTGGAGCAGAAACTATGCCGGGTTAACCCCACTCAATCACTGCAGTTCAGGAACAGAAGCAGCAACACTAAGAGGAAACTCAAGACTCCGGGTAGAGACAGAGCTCACGGTCCACATCCCCATTCTCCCTCCTCCTCACACAAAGACCCAAAGCAAAACTTTAATTGGTAAGTTGTTGCCCTTTGTAAACTTTTAGCTAACTGAGTAGTGACCACAACAGACTTTTGATAACAACTTTGATGGGGTGGCAGGTTTGAAGTAAGGAGAACCCCTCAAATCCAAAGTCTGTTTACCACAAGGAAGATGAGCTGTTTTACGTCTTCTGGGTAAAAAGGTAGTAGGGTATAGAAGGCCAACTATCAAAACACTACAAATCTGAAAATTTAGAAGAAAAAAAAATAAAAAAGTATTAAAAAAATAAACAAACAAACACTCAAAATTAAAATAGAAACAACAAAAAGAAGAATCAGGGAACAGTATAGAAGCATTTGGGGTAGTAGCTGAAGATATATACATATAATTAATTAGAACATAGAACTAACCTAAGTCACAATCAGAAAATGAAAGAAAGAATATGAATTAAGGCAAAGCCAAATTGGCATGTTTGTCACAATTAAAAGAAAAAGGGAAGAAAAACAAAAAAATTAAAGACTTCAAAAAGCTGTGATAGCCGGGCGTGGTGGCACATGCCTGTAATCCTAGCTGTTTCAGAGGCTGAAGCAGGAGGATCACAAGTTCAAAGCCAGCCTCAGCAAAATTGAGGTGCTAAGCAACTCAGTGAGACCCTGTCTCTAAATAAAATACAAAATAGGGCTGGGGATATGGCTCAGTGGTTTAGTGCCCCTGAGTTCAATCCCTGGTACCCCCCCCCCAAAAAAAAAAAAAAAAAAAAAAAAAAAAACCAAACCAACCAACCAACAAACAAAAACTTCTGTAACCTGGGAGCAGTGGCACACACATGTAATCCCAGCAGCTCTGTCGGCTGAGGCAGGAGGATTGTGAGTTCAAAGCCAGCCCTAGCAATTTAATAAGATCCTGTCTTAAAATAAAAAATAAAAAAGGGCTGGGGATGTGATTCAGTAATTGAGCACCCCTGGATTAAATCGCCACTACCAGGAAGAAGAAAAAAAAAAGCTGCTGTAGGAGTCGGGCATGGGGTGCATACTTGTAAACTCAGCAACTTGAAAGGTTGAGGCAAAAGGATCCCAAGTTTGAGGTTAGCCTGGGCAACTTAGCAAGACTCAAAATAAAAAGTAGAAGGGGCTGGGGATGTGGTTTGATGGTTAAGAGCCCCTAGGTTCAATCCCTGGTACAAAAAAAAACTGTTGTAAGTATTAATAAGAACTCAGGAAATTGCAGTTCTCACAGTCACTTATTCCTTAGGGGGATGGCTTCTCTGATCAAGTCATCTCGTGCATCTTCCCAGAAGATCCTTGTCCCACTAAAGCCAAGGAGACTCATCTTCCTATCTTCCAATCACAGGTATTTGAGAAAACTGCTAAGACTTTTTTTGTGTGTATGTGGTACTAGGGATGGAACCCAGGGTTGCTCTGCCACTGAGCTCTACCCCCAGCCCTTTTTATTTTTATTTTAAGTCAAGTGCTCACTAAGTTGCCCAGACTGTTCTCCAATTTATGACCCTCCTGCCTCAGCCTCCTGAGTTACAGGAATTACAGGCATATACCACCATGCTGGTGTTCTGTTGTTGTTGTTGTTGGGAATGGGGAATCAAACTTACGGCCTTCCACAAGCTAGGCAAGTATTCTACCACAGGGCTACATCCCCAGTCCCCTAAGACTTCTGATTGAACTAATGTTTTTGTGTGTGTGTATGGAGGGAGACCAGGAATTGAACCAGGAGCACTCAACCACTGAGCCACATCCCCAGCCCTATTTTATATTTTATTTAGAGACAGGGTCTCACTGAGGTGCTTAGCACCTTGCTTTTGCTGAGGCTGGCTTTGAACTCATGATCCTCCTAACTCAGCCTCCTGAGCTGCTGGGATTACAGGCGTGTGCCACCAGGCCTGGCTTGTATTTGTTCTTATTGAAGTCTCAACTCTATATTTCATCAAGTGGATATTTATTTGCCTTTATATTTTGAATGGAGCTGTTCATATACTTGCTGGTCTAATATTTAGTCATTTGGCTTTCATCAAGTGACTATAAAGCTCCTCTTATGGAACCTAACTAGGCTTTAAACTGCTTGGCCTTTGGGCCAGTTGGCTAATGTAAGTCATTCCTACCTGCTTCCTCAGGGGGTAGATTCTAGCCCCTGAGAAAACCACTTCTACTTTATCTTCTAACAATAATTGCTGATTACAGATACAATTGGTTGACTACATTTATTACCAAAAGGTCCATGGTCAAGTTGGGCCACAGTTGCTAGAAGACATGCTGAATAGCCTCTTATTATGGCTCAGCAATAGTATAATAAAGGTGCCATAAAGAAGAATGAAATTATGGCATTTGCCAACAAATGGATGGATCTGAAGATTATCATGCTAAGTGAAATAAGTCAATCCCAAAAAACCAAAGGCTGAATGAATGTTCTCTCTGATATGTGATGCTAACACAAAATAAGGGGAGGGGATAGAAGTTCACTGGATTAGCCAAAGGGGGATAAAAGGAAGGGAAAAGGAATGGGAATAGGAAAGAATATAGAATGAATCAGATGTAACTTTCCTATGTTGATATATGAATACACAACCAGTGTAACTCCACATCATGCACACCAAAAAATAGGATCCTAATTAGAATAAGTTATATTTCATGTACATATAATATGTCAAAATACATTATACTGGCATGTATATCTAAAAAGAACAAGTAAAAAAATATATAGGGGCTGGAGTTGTAGCTCAGTGGTAGAGTACTTGCCTCTCAAGTGTGAGGCACTGGCTTCGAGCCTAGCACCATATAAAAACAAATAAAGGCATTGAGTCCATCCACAACATATATATATATATCTCAACCTGGCTTGATGACAAGAATGCAGACTTTGAGAGTAGCTCTGTCTGGGTATTAGAAGGAGGGAAATAGGGAGATGGGTACTCCCAGTCCTTCTATTCTTTTCATTTATCTAGGGGCAACTGGATCCTCTATTTCTCCTTCCTGTCAACATGCAAGCACCTATAAGTGCCTTGCCTACTCCTATCTGACTGCTACTGCTACTACTCCCTCTAACAAGGCAAAGCAACAATATGAAAGGAACTTCTTGCTTGAGTAGGTGGACATTCTCCAGAACTACTCCCTTCTAGATTGTTATGTGAGATACAAACTTTTTTTTTTTTTTACATTTAAAACAATAAAAAAGACCTGGGGATGTAGCTCAGTTGGTAGAGTGCTGGCCTTATAAGCACAAGGCCCTGGGTTCAATCCCCAGCTCCACTAAATAAATAAATAATCAAACAAACAAAAATCCAGATTTTGGATTTGAATCTCAGGTATTTGACTTAATGGTCTACTGACTGATTAAATTACTTAATGTCTATGAGTCTGAATTAGGGTTGTTATATACTTTGCAGCACTACTTTAAGTACAGGAAAGAAAATATGAACACCTAGCATACATTGGATACTTCTTTCTTTTCTTTTTATTTCTTTCTTTTTTTTTTTTTTTTAAGTACTGAGGATTGAACCCAGGAGAGCTCTACATCTCCAAACCCTTTTCATTTTATTTTGAGATAGGGTCTCACTAAGTTGCTCAGACTGGCCTTGAATTTAATGATCCTCCTGCCTCAGGCCCTCAAGTATTGTATTTTATTTAGAGACAGGGTCTCACTGAGTTGCTTCTTGCCTCACTTTTTGCTGAGGCTGGCTTTGAAGTCCGGATCCTCCTACCTCAGCCTCTGGAGCAGCTGGGATTATAGGCTTGTGCCATGGTGCCGGGTTTGAACCTCAATTTTAAATGGTGATTGTTATGACTTAGAAATTAAATACATTGGTTTTAGCTTAAAAACTCCAACTGGAAAGCCTTTTTTTTTTTCCAACAGAAAACAAAAACATTGCATTTGGAAGACTCCCTGCAATCTATAAGAAAATCTTTAAGTTTTACCAGGTTTCTAAGTTATTTAGATTTTTCTTTATGCCTTATTGGAAGGACTAGTGGTTTGAAATTTGGAATCAGGAGGAACTAAAAAGAATAGTTTAGAAATAAAGGAGAAATTTTGATGGAAACAATTACTTCTGACTGAATTGTGTTAGCAGAAAAAATAGAAAAACATCTTAGTTTTCTAGAGAAGGTAATTTATCCAAAAATCTAGGGCATCAGCAGTAGAATTGAGACTACTGGAGCAAGTGAAAGAGACCATTGAATTGCCTTTGAAAAGCTAATACTATTATTTCCTTCTAGGAAAGACCCTCAGATTCAAAATCTATTTGCTTTTACTTTACATACAATGCTACTACTTTGGTTATCTGACTTCCTCAGACACAGATTAGGAAGAGGACTGCTACAACCAGACACCCAGGAAGTAGTGATTAATCTAATATTTAACAAAGGGAGGGGGAAAAGTTATTAGGATATAAAAGAACTCAAAACTTTACCAGCCTTGCATCCATGTTGTGTACAGCAAAAAAAAATCTAGCATATATTAATATTTTTCAAAGATGCATAAATTTACAATCTAGCTCTGAATGTGAGAGATTAAATTATTCTTGCTATACATTTCAAGAAGCCAAAGATCTATCTTATTTAAAGCAATATTTCATTAACGGCATATTTTTAAACTCTTTGTACCTAAAGTGATTAATTTCAATTATTTAGAAAATGAATTCAGGCTTTTCACATTCTCCAAAGGTGTTAGACAAATGAAGCTTTACTAAATTGTAATAGCAAAGTCAAGAATAAATACACACCTGTTTACACTGACAGGTCTTCTAAATGTGTCTTTAGATCTGGTTGGTTGCTTTGACCCCCAAGCAAGAGATAATAAATAATGCATTCCTCTACAAAGTGACTAACAGTAAAAGTTTAACTAGCCTCTGTTGATATGCCCAGCCCTGTGGAAGACAAAAGGAGTAGAAAATAGGGAAGACCTGTCACACTTTGCCCTTGAGTTCCCAGGGATTAAGGAACAACCATGTAAATGTAAACTGTTCGTATTTCTAAATAACATAAAAATACACAAGTTAACAAAAATTCTATGTAAAAACCATTTCATAGCAATGTTTAAGAATTCAGAGCTGGGTGTGGTGGTCCAGGCCTGTAATCCCAGTGACTTGGGAAGCTGAGGCAGGAGGATCACAAGTTCAAAGTCAGCCTCAGCAACTTAATGAGGCCTTAAGCAATTTAGCAAGACCCTATCTCAAAATAAAACACAAAAGGGCTGGGGATGCAGCTCTGTGGTTAAACACCCCTGAGATCAATCCCTGATACCAAAAACAAACAAACAAATAAACAAAAAAGAATTCAGGTGGATTTCGAGTTCAAGGCCAGCCTCAGCAATTTAGTGAGGCCATAAGCAAGTTAGCAAGACCCTGTCTCAAAATTAGAAATAAAAAGGACTGGGGATGATGTTTTTAGCTCAATGTAAAGCTCACCTGAGTTCCATCCCCATTATTAAAAAAAAAAAAAAAAAAACAAAGGAAAAGAAAGAAAAAAAATAAATCAATGGATCAATGGTACTATGTAGACCATTAAATGCTATGTTTCTCAGGCTTCATAAGAATACTTCTGTGGCTCTCAGGAAGTTATTCAAAGGTTAAATAAGATAAAGGCAGGATCATCTGAGTCTATCTGATTTTCTTCCTTGGTGTTCAAGATAGGAAGATCTTTCTTGCCTGTTTCACTCAGAAACAGCCATCAAGACACACTGAGGGAAATCAACCCAGCACCCTACAGGTCTATAAGAAATGCAATTTAGCAATATATTGCCTGCCCAGAAGCTAAATCCCATGGAAGCTAGAATCTTCTCTGCAGAGGACTGGCATGCAGTAGTATTCAAACTTTACTTGAATGAAATATGACAGAGGGACAGTGAGAGTTTAAGGTGGATAAGTACCTGGAGCCTTCATTTGGAAAGTCCCTCCCAGGAATAAGGAATAAAGGAGCTACTCAGGGAGTTCATGGTAGTGGATGATAATCCATAATCTCTATGCCCCAAATTAATTGAGAAGTTCTCAAGTCCCAGCATGAGCATTTAGGGACAGTATATTTGTTATTATGCTAGTTTTTTTTTTTGGGGGGGGAGGGCACTCATAATTCAAATATGTTTCATAATAAAATTTGTCCTTGAATAGCTTCCTTTATTAAAGAAGAACCTTCCTTCCTTCCTTCCTTCCTTCCTTCCTTCCTTCCTTCCTTCCTTCCTTCCTTCCTTCCTTCCTTTCTTTCTATCCCAGGGATTAAATTCAGGAACACACTGAGCCACATCCCCAGCCCTATTTTTGTATTTTATTTAGAGATAAGAGACAAGGTCTCACTGAGTTGCTTAGCTCCTCACCATTGCTGAGGCTGGCTTTGAACTTGGGATCCTCCTGGTGGGCCACCGCTCCCAGCAACGAAGAACATCTTGATTTTGAATAACAGAAAAACTTTTTCTTATTTTGCTGTTCAGTATGGCAGAATATTTAGACAAACTGTGTGTGTGTGTGTGTGTGTGTGTGTGTGTGTGTGTGTGTGTGTGTTGTACTGGATTGAACAAAGGGGCATTTAGCCACTGAGCCACATCTCCAGCCCTTTTTATATTTTATTTAGATTCATGGTCTTGCTATCTTGATGAGGCTGG